TGGTTAAACCTTCTAACTATTATGAACCTAGGCACATGTACAACCCCAATGTAGTTTGCCATTATTGTAATAGGATAGGCCATATTGCTCCCGTTTGTTACACTAGGCATAGGCACCTATCACAAAATCAAGCACACTACCATTACACACCTAACACCCGAGGACCCAACGTAAATTGGGTACCTAAAACTCATTGATGTGTTTCATAGGTATGCTTGAAGGCATCAAGTGTACTTTGGTACCTTGATAGCGGATGCTCCAAACACATGACCGGGGATGCATCCAAGTTTCTCCAAATCAAACCCGCTAAAGGAGGAAACGTAGTTTTTGGAGACAATAGCAAGGGAAAAATTATCGGCGTTGGTTCAGTAGGTAAATCTGAAAACTCCTCTATAGATAATGTCTTGCTTGTTAAAGGTCTCAAACACAATCTCTTGAGCATAAGTCAATTATGTGACAAGGGAAACCGTGTGACTTTCGATTCAAAATCATGCATGGTAAAACGCCTTAGTGACAATAAGGTCATTCTACGTGGTGATAGAATCGATAACATTTATATGGTTAACTTAGACAAATCTCCTTCCGACTTTGCTAAGTGCCTCATGAGTAAAGAGCAAGACACTTGGTTATGGCACCGAAGGGTAGCTCATATGAACATGAACCTTTTGAACAAATTGGTTTCACAAGACTTAGTAATTGGAATTCAACAACTTAAGTTTGAAAAAGACGCCATATGTGATGCATGTCAAAAGGGGAAGCAAGTTCGGGCTTCGTTTAAGTCTAAGAACGTTGTTTCAACGTCTAGACCGCTTCAACTTTTGCACATGGATCTTTTTGGTCCTTCTAGAACGAAAAGTTTTGGTGGCAATTACTTTGCGTTTGTGATTATCGATGACTACTCTAGGTTTACATGGACCTTGTTTCTTACTCATAAAAGTGAAGCATTTCATGTTTTCAAAAATTTTATAAAGAAAGTTCAAAATGAAAAAGAAACAACCATAGTAGCCATAAGAAGCGGCCATGGGGGAGAGTTCGAACGAAATCTGTTTTCAGATTTGTGTGACGAACTCGGTATTGATCATAACTTCTCAGCCCCACGTACACCACAACAAAATGGAGTGGTGGAACGTAAAAATAGATGTCTCGAAGAGATGGCTAGAACTATGATCAATGAGGCAAAAATCCCTAAGTATTTTTGGGCGGATGTCGTGAGTACCGCGAGCTACGTGTTAAACCGAGCCGTCATTCGACCAATACTCATGAAAACGCCCTATGAACTATACAAAGGGAGAAAGCCAAACCTTTCCCATCTTCGAGTCTTTGGTTGCAAATGTTTTATTCATAATAGCAGCAAAGATAACTTGGGAACATTTGATGCCAAGTCGGACGAAGGGATTTTTCTTGGTTATTCTCTTCGCAGCAAGGCCTATAGAGTATTTAATAAACGTACTTTGACTATTGAGGAGTCCCCTCATATTGTATTTTCCGAAGATAATCCTCGCTTGGCGAGAAAGGCTATTTGTGATGATCTTGCAGATTCATTAGAGAGAGTACACATTGAAGACGATGAAGAAGACACGCCATTATACACCAACCCGCAACCACAACCTGAGGAAACA